AAAGAAAATCATTACCATGTGCCGACATGTTTATGCGTCAAAATGATGTTAAAATTTTGCTAATTAGTATTTATTAATAAGACTTCAACTAATGACGCATTTTTCCATCTCCTCTGATGTAATTGATATTGTGATACAACTAAATTTAGCACTTTAGAATGAAATAAAATTTACTGCAAGTTTATCTTCAAAACCAAGTATTGCAAAAATTAACTCAAAATCTTCAGAAATTCAATGCTTTACACAAATTTATAATATTTTGAAAATATAAAAATGTGACCAATGAAATGATTACCATATAAAAACGGTTAGAATGAAATAAAAAATGGCTCAGGAAAAAGGTGTTATTTTATTTTTTGCACAAAGATTGAATTATGCTTTATTGTAACAAGCACAGACATATGCAACCCTTCGATTGGTATAAATAGCATAAAAAATAGAATACAAAGTTATTTCATTATTATTTTTATTTACACAGATGACAGATGCACATGACTCAGACGAATTGTACAATCATCTACGATCACTTGTTTTTGATCAGGTTGTGTTGTTTGTCGATCAAAATGTGCTGAATTATTATCTGCTTATATAATATTCGAATGTTTGCATGCTGTCCAACTAATTTAGGATGATCTTATCTGATGGATAAAGTTAACTGATAATAAAAAGGCAACCATCATAATCAGTGAACAGTCTTTAATTACATAAAGGAATATTTCGTTTAAGACGTAATTCATATATTTATAAATTCGAAATTATAAATAATGAAAGTATGAATTCCAAAAATTTCAATGAAGTGCTACATTTTTAATTAAAATTACAGAAACATATGACAAGTAGGGGATTACGATTTCTGCGAGGAAAGACAGGTTTGGACGAGTTCAGTTTGGCAATTTTCATTGGTGCCATCACATCCGTATACTTACTGGTGGGACAAGATGCTCAAATGTTAGCAAATGCTATCCTTACGGTGACACCAATCCTACTCACTTACGTTTTTCCAGCTGAAAAACCACCTACACCACAACTCCTTATATACTGGTATAATTATCTGTTGTTAAATATGTCATTTTTGTAGTCCATCAGATCGAAGTTGCAAAATTTTTTAGGACCGAAAAAGATGAAACACATAGCTCCCAATACTGATCGTCCTAAGTATTATACAATACTTATCGTTCTTTTGCTCATATTAATATTTCGGAGTCAACTTGATTATTTAGATCAGATTAGATCCTTATCACCGTGATATGAGTTCATGCTGGATAAATCGGACATTAGATAAAAAGTTAAAAGCCAATATGCTATGTAAACTTTTTGAACTGAAATAGTTTCCTTTTCATCAATCGAAGGTCGGACTCATTTTTAGTTTCTTAAAAGGTAATAAAGTTTTCAGGAGTGCATTTGGCCTATTAACATTATTGGATTCTAATTTCGAACCAGAAAGTGGTTACTATTTCATTAAAGTAGTTCTGCTCGCACTTTTTTTCTTACATCCATTTGATGGCGCTGATCGAATTCTTTGGCACATCCGACTATCTCATAATGATCAAATCAAAGATGAAGTTGGAGACCTATTACTCTAGAAGACTTATTTCCATCCTAATATTTCGTCATCCATTTAATGCTTAATTAGGCCGATTTGATATCATATCCGATTATTTATTCGTAGTGTTTAGGGATTTTAGGGATATTTTCATAATTTCCACTTACTCAGAAATTTTTTCCTCACCGTTTCTCTGCCTTTTCCCTTATATTTATACCTGTGGAAAAACTGGAAACATCAAAAAACTAAAGAAAATATAATTTGAAATGATATTTAAAACTTTAAAAATCAATACAGCCAGCTATAATTCCATTTACCAAAGCAGAATTATCAGGAATGATGGAAAGAAAAAAAGATATACAATCATCGCCATTCGACGCACCCGAAGTAACTTTTCTGTAAAAACCCTGAAAATATGTCAAAGTTAGAGGAGAATGTCACCATAAAACTATTCTGAATTTAAGAGTTGAAAGGGATTGTTGATTTAATTTTCAAACTTCAACAATCAATACAGTACATCTTAACCAAATTTTATAATTCATTCCAGTGACTTAAATAATTAATGCAAAAATAGGTTACGGAATGAGTGAGACATCTAAATATGAACAATGCTGAAATATGCCATAATCTACCAAAAGAGACAAATGTGATTCTCCAATCGGTAGATTATTCACTGATTTGGCGAAATTATCAAAAACTTCTCTTTACAATGCTTTTGCAAGTATCCGAAAATTACAAGTAGTCACATATGACAGACGACAGGTGCGCCCTAATTCCTCTTTTCAGACGATGAAATTAAATGGTGCATCATCTCCTACGATACGGAGCGATTACTCTTCTTCTTATGAAAGTGGTAATTATAAACCATTTTAATTTTTTTGAATTCAAATCCAGTATTCATTGAAAAAATTACTGAAGAGAAAATAATATATGCTTGCATAGTGTAAAAAATTTTGTTTGTTTGCAATAACTACGATTCAAAAAAATGGAAATTAAAATTGAAAGCGAAAAATTGAGATTGAACTTGAAATTTAGTTTTTTTTTCAGTCTCAGAAGGCAAAAACCCAATGTTATATAACTCCGAGTTCAGAATCCAAGATCAAGAGGTCACAAGTGCGGAAGGCTTAAGCACAAATTATAATCCGCATGATTTAGCATTTGAGCCAGCGAAATATTTAGTTGGTTCAAATCAATTTGAATCATCAATTTTTCATTACTTTCAGTTTCAGCTTGAAAAACCAAATAACTCAATTACGGAACATCTGGAAACTGTTGAATTATGTTTCTTTTTGTTTCAAAATTATATCTAAAAAAATTAAAAAAGAAAAAATTAAAGAAAAACTATGTTTGTTTATAAAGTTGTTAGATTTTAGGTTCCATAAGTTGAAAAAGTGCTGATCTCTTTCGAATGCCACAAATCTGATTTCCAGATTTTCAATGCCCCATATGATTTCGAAAATTTAACATATTTTATACGTATTCGTAACACGTCAACGAAGCATATCGCATATGTAATTAAAAGCAACGCAATACCACGCGTTTTTGCAACACCGCCATGCGGAATTTTACCACCGAAACAAAAACGCGATATTGCGGTTACCGTTAAGGTGATGATACCATCATAACACAAGTTTAATCGATAAATTTGTCTGTAATATAGTACCTCTATGGAAGCACCAACCAATGACACATTAATATATTCAAAATAAGAAATGTTTATGAACAACTATCATATCCTCATCTCAAGCTGTATATACAAAATTTCACAATTCCTATCATATTCTTTTTCAGAAAATGGACAAATTTGTCGAAGAATTAGTTCAAAATGACCGACTTGCATTTGACTATGCATTCTGCTCACCTGAAATAAAACGATTTAAATTCGGATTGTTACAGGTTTACATTTTAACTGTGAGATCTCATAACGGCAATTAAGTTTGCGTATATGAAGGAAAGTTCAATTGTAAAAATGATGGCCCCTTTCATGTGCCGCGTGGTACTGAAACTTGAAATGAACCTTGCACCACTCTTGAGAAGGTGGAGGAGATAAATTTGAATATCCCTGCACTGTTTTTTTTCTTTAAATTCCCACTGTCTTGTGCCTTGTAAATATTTCAGTTGTGTTCATTTCAGAGTGAGATGCGACGAAGGAAAAACATTTACATAAAGTATAATCCATAACTGCCAAAGAACTGAAAAAATTCAGATAAACAGAACGCATTGTTTTACAAAACCAAATATCCGGTTACAACAGTTTAGAACACATACTTTGATATAAACTCATCATCGAACTATTCATTTCGAAGCAAAATTTTATTAGTATCAAGTTTTGAAAGTTCGTTAGAGCCAAGAGTTCAGTCAGAAGAATCAAACTTTAACCAACAATTAATCAAGAAGAAATTGAAATTACATTTTACAACAGATATCATAAGCTTCTTCCAAGATCCTCAAATATTCGAAGTGAATGATCACCAGAGAAAATATGTCAGGAAGTAAATAAGTGGACACAGAACCAAGTACAAGTACACTTAGTTTGCCACTATATATGAAGAGCTACTTCTTGATTTTTCCTATTGGAGTGGCTTAAATCAGTGACGATTTCAGATCTCAAAAGAAAATCTATCGAATGAAAAATAATTACAAAAAAATTATTATCGACAACCAAGCCCTATTTACACTCGCAATATTTCTAGCATATTTTTATAGCAAATTGATATCCAGTCCGGCAAGGCAGCGGCCCAATGCACCTGATTAATCTGAAAAATTCCCACTTTTCAAATCCAGGAAAAACTGCCTTGAAAAAGGAGACAATTAAAAATATATGCAATAATTGTACCATGAACAATTTGACTGGAAAATACTTCTTTGTGGATGGACACTCCTCCATTACTATGGCTAGGGCAATCTGTTGCAGAACGTGTAATTTTTCTGAGAAGTGATATATAGGATATTTTGGACGCTTTCAAGTGATGCATGTGTATGTGGCCTCATTTTTTGTTTCTTAAGTGAGAGTTGATACAGTTTTCTCATCACTTCTGAAATGTGTAACTAAATCTAATTTTAAGGGACGAAATGCTTTACCTCGCCACCAGCTTGATAAGCCAAAATAGGATCATCAACAGGTCGAGGCATCGTATGAATATCCCAAATTAATGCTTGGCTATCACCACCTGGATTAAAATTAACACGAAAAGCAAATAAGTAATAGAAATAAGAACGAATAAAGAAGTGTTGAGTAATAGTAGGGATTTCAAATTCAAAACCGAAATTGAACTGGAAGCATATTTCACCTGCCGTACATATATGACACGAAGAATGTGGTGCCCAGGCCATACCATTTACGCGCCCACGATGATTGTCTAGTTTCGCAACAGGTGTACAAGGAATACGCACATCGAGAATTATAACCTCAAGAGAGCTGATTAACTAAATATATAATTATTCAACTTAGAACACAATATATCCCTCCATGTTAAGGTTGTTTGTTCTCATTCATTGTTTAAATGTCATCGAAATGCTAATATATCCCTAATGTATGCTGATATATGGATATGTAACAAATTAATTAAATTCACTATAAACAAAATAAATTAAAAAGATCATAGCTAATAAGTAGATAAATTAAAACGGCAGTTACTATATGCTTATAACAAAATTAATTATGAAAATGTAACATGGAAAATGAATAAAACATACCTCTGCAGAATCTTGAACAAATGTAGCAATATAATTATAATCTTGCTTATTACATTCCAAACGTAGTAATGGAGCATGTGATGGTTCTTCGAACATAATTGTTGAGTGCTCAAGATGGCGTAAATCAAACATTCTCAGGCTTCCATCGGCTCCTGAAAATCTGAGAGTTTTGAACACAAGTACATGATTCAGTTTTATCTATTATTCGCGTGCATGTATTTTGTATGTTAGCATATCTCTGGAAACCTGCCCCTGATTCACGAAGAAAACTTTCCCAGCCAGAGTATAAGAAAAAACTTTCTTCATCACTTTTTCTATATTTGTCCTACCAGAAACTTCAAAATTTTACTATTCTACCACGAAAACTGTAAGGAAGAGAAGGTAATATGCGTAAAGACAGCTAAAAAACAGAAAAAAACATGCCAACACTAGCAAATATTTCACGACCGCTTGCCATCCTTGTAAAAGCAATATCAAATACTTCCTTATCATGAGCAATCAGTTGTGTTTTTACAGTACCTTCCGTTGATCGCGCGACGCTGATCGCTTGACCGGTCTAAAAGGGATCAATTTCTCTCACTTTTCGTGGTATCTTATCCACTATCAGTTTTTTCGTGATAATCAAAATGGAACTTCAAATTTAAATCATACAAATTAACCTCGATTTGCCAAATGGTGCATGTTGTGTCGATACTTGAAGTGCCAATCAGACCAACATCTACGTCATTCCAATCAAACGACGTCAATGGTGCACAGTATTCACTACTTCGATTCTGAAATGAACTGGAAATTTTTTTTAGTTTGTAAACGGTGTAACAGTGTAGGCGAGAAGTTCACTGGCACCTTCAAATATTAGTCGATATAGTCAATTTAAAATATTAAAATCCATCCCAATACGGTATCTAATACAGGTCTCAAAACATCCTTTTTCATACATCCGAAACATGAGTAGGATAATTAGCAAAAAAGTTCATGTTACTTTCAAAGTAAAATGTGAAAATTGAGAATACTGACAGGAATGTTTAAGAAAAGAGTTTGTGCTTTGAAACTCCTTATCTTATTCTAAATTATTAAAGGAGACATGCTAGCAATAATCACAAATAATTCGTAACTTCAACCGGTAGCCAATAATGATAGGACTAGAAAGATGAAACAGTAAGCACTTTAAGAAACGTACGTTGTTGAGAAAAACTTCAATTTGCGCGCCATCAGCACCACCTACACGCCACAACCGCAAATAATCTCCGGTTGTGGCAATCAAGTCTGGATAAATGCCTTTCTAAAAAATTACACATATATATATATATATATATATATATATATATATATATATATATATATATATATATAT